TTGTAAGATTAGGTTATTGATTTGAAATCTTTTTCCTTTTTTAATACAGGCATTTGAAGCTATAAAATGTCCTCTAAGCACTGCTTTCATTGAATTTCATAAGTTTGGGGATGTTGTGTTTCCCTTTTTATTTATCTCACATTATTTTCTAATTTCCTCTGTGGTTTATTCTTTAACTCACTGGTATTTAGAAGTGTGTTATTTAATTTCCACTTATTTGTAATTTGTTTCTGCTTATTGATTTATAATTCCATTCCATTTGTAGTCAGAGAAGATACCTTGTGTGATTTCAATTATTTTAAATTGATACTTGTTATGGCTTAACATATCATCAATACTGAAGAACATTCCATATGTACTTGAATATGTATTCTGGTGTTTTGAGATAGAGTACCTTGGATATATTCTAGTTGGTTTATAGTGTTCAAGTCTTCTATTCCCTTGTTTGTCTCCTGTCTAATTCTTCTTGCCAGTGTTGAAAGTAGGATGTTAAAGTATCATTCTATTATTGTTGAATTATCTATTTTATCTTTCAGTTTTGCCAGTTTTTGCTTAATGTATTTTGGGACTCTGTTGTCAAGTGCATATATATTTATAATCATTATATATACTTGCTGTAGTGACAATTTTATCATTACAAGATGTCCTTCCTTGTCTTTAGTGACAAATTTTATCTTAAAGTCACTGTGTCTGATATAAGTGTAGGCACTCCAACTATAGCCACTCCAGCTATCTTTTGGTTACTATTTGCATGGCTTTTTTTCATCCTTCTACTTTAACTTACTTGTATATTTAAATCTTAACATGTCTTTTGTAGATAACATATAACATGGATTTTTTTGTAACCCATTCTGCTAATCTCTGCCTTTGAACTGGAATAAATCCATTAACACTTAATGTAATTATTGATAAGGCAGGATTTATGAATTGTAGGATTGATTTTATAGCAAAGAATTCTCTCAGCTTTGATGATCTAAAAATGTTATCTTGATTTCTCTTTCATTTTTTAAATATAGTTTTGTTGTATATACAGTTCTTGGTTGCCAATCCTTTTCTGTCAGCATGTTGAGTATGTCATCCCATTACCTTCTGCTTCTATGATTTGTTTTTTCTTTCTGTTTTTTTTTCACTTGTTTTTAAATTGAAGTATAGTCAGTTTACAATGTTGTGTCAAATTCCAGTGTAGAGTACAATTTTTCAATTGTACATGAACATACATATATTCCCCATGATTTCTAATGAGAAACCAACTGTTAATGTTATTGAGGATTCCTTGTGCATGCTAGTTTTGAGTCTCTCTTTCACTTTGGCTTTTGACACCCAGATTGATTATTATGCATCTAGGTGTGGATCTCTTCACTTTTATCTTACTTGGAGTTATTTTCGTTCTTGGATAGAGAGATTAATATTTTTCATCAAATTTAGGGAGTTTGGGGCCATTTTGTCCCCAAATATTCTTTCTGCTTCCTTCTCTCCTGACCTTCTGGAACTCTCATTATGTATGCTTTGATATGATTGATGATGTTCGACAGGTCTCTGAAACTCCATTCACTTCTCTTTGTTCTTTTTTCTTTCTGTTCCTCAGATTGGATAATCTCAATTAATCTATCATCAGAATCATTGATTCTTTCTTCTGCCTGCTCAACTCTGCTGGTGAGTCACTAACTCTAGTGAATTTTTATTTCAGTGACCATAACTTTCACCTTCAGATTTCTATTTGACTCTCTTTTAAAAATAATTTCTATCTCTTTATTAATATATCTATTTTGTTGAAAACTGAACACTTTAATTAATATGATATTGCAACTCCACAAATAAGATTCTTCACCTCCTCCAATTTGTTATTGTTGCTGTTTGTTGTTTGTTTAATGACTTTTCTAAACTAATTCTGTAAAGACTGTATTCTTTATCATCTATAGCCACTGAAGTCTCTGCCCAGTTAGCTTAGTGGTCAGCTCAAAGATTTCTTTAAATATCTACAATCAGGAAGTTTCCCAGTCTTTGCTAAAGCACTCTGTGTCTTGGGGCACACCTCAATGTTTAGTCAGGCAGTTCGCAATTCTCCCTTACCCTTCACTTCTTGCTTGTGCAGAGTCTCAAGATCAGCCAGAGTTGAGAACTTAGGACTTTCTAAGGTCTTTCTTGAGCATGCAAACAGCCATAAGCATGTGCACAGCCCTACCCCTACAGGTGGCCTTCCAGATTCCCAGAAACATGTCAGAGCTTTTCAAAGCCCCTATGGATATCTTATTGCCCAGTTTTTCCTTTTAAGCCTTTTGGTTATCCTATTGGTGTTCCCAACTATTATTTACTGCCTCAAGCAGTCACAAAGTTAATCAATTGCTTTGAAGTATTTTCAACAAATGTCCCTGGGCAAAGTCTTTTTCACACTTTGTGAGTTCTGACAGCCTTACTATTGGTGTCTTTTAGGGAACCTCCAGACAGCTCAGATAATGACAGTTTTCTATGATTGAAGCTGTAAAGGTGCTCCAGCTCCTTTCTGCCCCTCTGGTGGCTGCCAGGCTGTTGGTTCTCAAGGCTGCTGTGGAACTGGAGAAGTGGGACTGGGACTAGGGAAAGTTAACATGCCAGAAAGTTTGCTGTTCTCATTGAGATTCGGCCATTTTTCTTGAATAAAGGCTATCCAGATTGCTGTAAGCTTTTGGTTAATTTCCACAGTTTTGAAAGAGTTGATTCTGACAATTTTCGCCGGTTTTCTCATTGCTTTTCTGGAGGAGAGAATTGGGGGAGATCTTTATTCCACCATTTTTGCTGATGCCTTCCAAATGTATTATTTTTATGAGTTTTTTTTTTTTTACTTGAAAAGTATTACTTCTTTAAAAATACTCTGGTAATAAGGTGATGGTGAGGGTACTTCACTTACACGATTTGGTGCCTTCCTAGTTACAAGAAAATATGTGACATTATTATTAATCACATCACTAGAACAGTGGATTTTTCTCCCATGGACACAAATTTTGTTGGTTTTCTCTTCCTTATTAAAACGTTTTCTTTTTAGTAGTATTTAAAATACTATAAATTTTTAGTATTTAGTAAAATGTTGTGTTCCTCTATAGAGTAAAAGATTTATCAAGACATATCAGCCATCTACAGTGTATTTCAATTGTGATTTGAAAAATAAAAACTAACTATTTTTGACAATTAGGGGATTTCTGAACATTGGACATTTAATGATATTAAGGAATTATTGTTAATTTTTTGTTAATGAGAAAAATGGCACCAAGATTTTTTTAGAAAGTTTTTCTCTTGTAGAGATGCATATTGAAATATATACAGATGAAACTATATGATGTTTAGGATTCACTTCAAAATAATCTGAGGAAATGGGGGGAAGTGGGTGGGAGTAGGGATGATACAAAACTAGCTATGAGTTGATAGTTGTGTAAACCCCTGGGTATTGGGTACAAAGGGGTTCATTATACTATTCTACTTTTCAGTGCTCAAAATTTTCCATAATAGAATGGTTGGTGTTTTTGTTTTTAATGTATGTTACTTCAAGCCTAGGCCTGTGAGGAATTTTAGCAATTTCTAGTGGGTATGTCTTAAACAAAGCTTGCAGACAGGTAGCTCTTCAGCTGTATTTGGTCCATAGGCATGTTTTGTTTGGCTAGCACCATGTATTTTTAAAAAACATAAATTAGTTACTAATATTTTAGCATTTTAAAACAGGGACATTTTGGATTATCATCCAGATTTCAAGCTTCTGTTGAAATCATCAGAAGCACTGGCCACACTGGACCCCCATCCCACATAGTGAAAACTAGCTGGAGCTGAAAAGTTTCTGTCCCCTTTAGAAAGCATAGGTACTCTCTAACTGCCACAGTTCCCACCCAAGTGTGCGCTCCTGCCTTAGTGTGCTTCAAAGGCTTGTTGACAATAGGAGATGACAATTAGCAATAATCCAGAAGTCTACTTGAGTTTAGTCAGCAGATAATGCAGTTACACATTTGGTTCTAAAGAACAAAACTGATTTAAGATGTAACATTTGCCCATATACAAAGCATTCCAAGGAGGCAGAAAAATATCATAGGCAACTTGATGCTAATTAAACATTTCTAATGCAACAGCCTACCAGGTGGGTTTTAACAGGTAGATAACAAATCTAAGTCAATGACAATATAATTGTCTTTCATAAACTATGGAAACAGGATGCTTTAAAAAAAATCAGTCAATTCAAGTTAATTCTATTGTAAGTCTTTTTTCCCCCACAATTTGTTTCCTCTGACAGCTTACAAGACAAACACCTAGTCTGCTTGAGTTTCAAAAGAATATCTCCTTTGTCCCACTTGAATGACCAATAAAGACATATGTCCAATTGGCAAGGTGAAAAGGGTGTCCATAAGTCTTATTAGGTTTAAGATATGTGATCGTTTGGAGACGCAGCTGAAGTGAAAGGATTTCTGGAGGACATATGCAACCTCATCATACCTCCTTCATTTCATCTCTAGCTCCTTACTGCCCCTGTCAAAATACTCTTTTATCTCACAGAATACAGTTCAGCTGTCACTCTCAGAAGTCCTTTTCTAATTCCCTCCACGTCTCATGTGCTCTCCCTCCTCCTCACCCCATGGGTACTTAGTGTGTGATTCTCTCAGGACACCTGACCTTCTTCAGTTGTATAGTAGTCATTTGTGCTTTCATCAAGCCCCCTCCTTCTTGTGGAGAATGAAAGGGTCTCTTGAAGAGCAGAGACTCTGCAGCCAGATTCCTGGGTTACAATCCCAGTTCTACCATTTGTTAGCAGTGAACAAGTTAGAGAATCTCTCTAAGCTTCAATTTCCTCATCTATAAAATGGAGCTGAGAACATACCAGCTTCATCAGGTGGTTGTGAGGATTCAGGGGAATGATACATGTGCAGCAGCATGTTAAAATGGAAGTCTTGACTGAGGCACCTGGATTAAGTGGATCTGATGTTTGGAAAGAGGACCTAGAGCAAGCTGTATCTTTTCAAAGGAGCCCTCTGAAAACCAGTTCCTTAACTCTTAAGCCCTTCACGTGCGGATACAAAAGTGTTCAAGAGTAGATACTGAGGAGGCTTTTTAAAAGAAAACTTCTGTGGAGATAGTTATCCTGTGAATCCCACCCACCCAAAGGCTCACTCCTTTCATCTCAAGTCGTGAGAGACAGTCTGTAAGGAAACCACCTGGAGAGATGAATATGCATCCCTACGTTTTGAAAGGACTGTAATGTCTTCTTATTATATGTAAGACAATGCAGCTCTGCTATAGAAGACAAGAAAAATCAATAGGATGGATGTTAGAAAGATAGTATATTAGTAACATCTAAGACATGTTAAAGATAAAGAGAATAAGTGGATTATATGATTCTTAAAAAATAGAACAGGAGTATGTCTTATGGATAGAAAAGGATGGAAAGACCAAGTTATAAGGAAATGGATCAAGCCACCTCAGACTGACAGGTATGTTATCCCTAAATTGTTCACCCACCTGTGATACCCATTATGGTCCTGTTATGAACCCACTGTGCTCTTCCCAGGAGATGCACATAAAATCCATTGCTGCTCAATGAGCTAACTGTCAAGGTATGGCTAATGGCCAGACCCCTGTGTCTCTCTGACCGAGAAAGCACGTTGTACCTTCCATTTGCTGAGCCCCTTCACTCATTTTCAAGTCTGGTTCTTATAACCACACGATCAGTGGGGAGGCTGCTGTGGCGTGGGGCCGGAGTAGGGGAAGGGAGCCGGAGGTGCAAAAAGTGAGGACAAATGAACGATGAATGACAAAGGACTCAGGAATGTAATCCTCCTACCCTGCTGGTATCCTACCCTAAGGTGTGATAAGCCTCCCCATCTCCTTATCTTTGCTTTTTGTTGTGTTTTAAATTGATTGACTAATTTGTATCATTTGAGCATCCCATTTTGGTCTGCGAGTGATTCTGTTCTGTGACTTCTGGGATAGCTTGCCTGGTGGGTGTACCAGAAGGTACCTTTGCGTCAAGGTAATTTCCCACATGACGGAAACACAATAGGCTAGGTCTGACTACAGAAGTAGGTCTGGCTTCTGCCTAGAAAACCTAAAAGGTGAGGGATGGTCTGGATGGCTGCCTTAAAGGCAGGAGTGAAGACGTTACTGCTGTGTTGGACTTAGCTGGCAATCCCAGAATCTGTCAGGCAAAGGATATGGGAGAGAGCTGGCATGGGCTGACCTGGCCCTGCCAAGGTGGCTGCCTGGCAGGGTGGAGGGACTTGAGCAGAAAAGGCTGGAGGTAAACCCTGGATTACCAGGAATAAAAGAAGGATCTTTGAGCAAGTCAGGAAAAGGAATGGAGATGTTTTTGGCTTTATCAAAGGTACTATTTGTGACAGATTCCCAGCAATTAAGAGAATTTCCAAAGAACCCACGAAAGCTTGATTGAAAGAGTATCAGCCCAGATTATGAAGGACCATAGGTAAGTTTTCTGGTCCATTTAGCTCCCCTTCTCATCCCCAGAAGGGTCAAAAGCCACAATAAGTCAGCTCCAGGTACAGGGCAAGGAGAGGAAACTGTCTAGTAATACAAACTTCCTGCAAGCCTCACCTGGGGAAGGGGAAAATTTTAATTTTCAATCAAGCATCCTGTTTCCATACTTTACTATTAATTAGCCCTGAACATTCTTATTACTAAATTGAGACCAAGTGTGTGACTTATAAGAAACCAGAGAAGTCATGGGGTTTGCCCAAGTTTTGTTTTTTTTTTTTGTATATATATTTTTTATTGAAGTATAGTCAGTTTACAATGTATCAATTTCTCATGTACAGCATAATGCTTCAGTCATATATGAACATACATATACTCATTTTCATATTCTTTTTCACCATAAGTTACTATAAGATATTGAATATAGTTCCCTGTGCTATACAGTATAAACATATTGTTCATCTGCTTTATATATAGTAGTATCTGCAAATCTCAAACTCCCAATTTATCCCTTCCCACCCAACTACCACCCTGGTAACCATAAGTTTGTTATGTATGTCTGTGAGTCTGTTTCTCTTTTGTAAATAATTTTGTCTTTTTTAAGATTCCACATATAAGTGATATCATATGGTATTTTTCTTTCTGGCTTACTTCACTTAGAATGACAATCTCTAGGTCTATCCATGTTGCTGCAAATGGCATTATTTTATTATTTTTAATGGCTGAGTAGTATTTCATTGTATAAATATACAACTTTTTTATCTAGTCATCTTTTGATGGACATTTAGGTTGTTTCCATGTTTGGCAACTGTAAGTAGTGCTGCTATGAACATTGGGGTTTATGTATCTTTTTGAATTAAGGTTCCCTCTGGATATATGCCCAGGAGTGGGACTGGATCATATGGTAAGTCTATTTTTAGCCTTTTAAGGAATCTCCGTACTGTTTTCTATAACGACTGCAACGAACTACATTCCCACCAACAGAGTAGGAAAGTTCCCTTTTCTCCACAGCCTCTCCAGCATTTATAGTTTGTGGACTTTTGAATGATGGCCATTCTGACTGGTGTGAAGTCATACCTCATTGTAGTTTTGATTTCCATTTCTCTAATAAGTAGCGATATTGAGCATTTTTTCACGTGCTTATTGGCCATTTGTATGTCTTCATTGGAGAATTGCTTGTTTAGGTCTTCTGCCCATTTTTGGATTGGGTTTTTGTTTTTTCTTATTAAGTTGTATGAGCTCTTTACATATTCTGGAAATTAAGCCCTTGTCAGTCTTCTCTTTTACAAATATTTTCTCCCATTCCATTGGTTGTGTTTTTGTTTTGCTTATGGTTTCCTTTGCTGTGCAAAAGCTTATAAGTTTAATTAGGTCCCATTTATTTATTTTGACTTTTATTTCTATTGCTTTGATAGACTGTCCTAGAAGAACGTTGCTGAGATTTATGTCAGATAATGTTTTGCCTGTTTTCTTCTAAGAGGTTTACCAAGTTTTTATTTAGGAACATAGAAGAAAGCCCCACTGAACAAAATGAAAGGAGTGCTGGAACACAAAAATAAAATTCTTGATCACAACTCGTAAGTTTTGTTCAATACAATGTTTACATATGGAAAGTGCTTAGAACAGTACTGGGCACAAAATGCTAAATACATATTAGTTATTACTACTATCTGTGCCATTGCCTAGCATGATGACTTGTATACAATAAGAGCCTGATAAATGTTTGTCAAGTTGAACTGAATTCATAGTAGGAGTGATTGAATACTTTAATGGATCTTTAGGATCCAGGGCAAAAAGTAAAGTGCCAGGTATTTTTTGAAGCTCTCTCCTGAAATCTACAGCTCATTAAAAAGAAAAGAGAATACCCTAAAGCATCCAGAGGTCTTTTTGTTGCTGTTGTTCTGGCTTGTATCATAAAAACCAGGCAAGCTCTTAAATAGGTATTGTATCACCCAGAGGATCAAAGGAAGCCATTTCCTTCACTAGTCTCAGATTTCAAAAAATAATTTCCTTATCCCTAAAGCTGAGATACTGCTCATTTGGGAGTGAGAGCTAAAGAAACAAACTGCCCATAGAGGATAGTCCAAAGCATACTTGGTGGGCACTACACGGACAGACCTCCCTCCCCAGATTGTCCCTGGCGCTTGTAGAGCCTAGGCACAAACCAGGGTCTCTGCAGCTCTTTTGTTCTCTATTTTAGAAGGCAGATCAGGTTTAAGTTTCACTGTATCCATATTTAAAGGAAATTACTTATTTTCAGCATTGATTCCCTGCTTGCTCTTTCCAGGGTTGCCTTCCAGCAGGGAGGAAAAAATCATTGGTTTGGACTCTAATTTCATCCCCTGAAAAATTAGGCTCAGTTGTCACAATGTATTTTTTATACCCACTAAATCCTATTTTAAAGGAAGGCACATTAGATCAAACACTCATACAGCAACCTTTTGGATTTGTTTTGTTTGTATATTTTGAGAATTTGTTTAAGTTTTTTTTTTTGCCATCATATCAAATACCATAAATTTTCTTGCTTCACAGGCCATTTTTTTCCAGCATGGTCAGAATACTGGTAAGATGATTCTACAGTGTATTGACAATCAGGCAACTGCTTAGAAGAAGGTCTAAAGAGCTATAATGGTTCTTAGCCCTATTTGGACTCTTTTTAAAAGAGTTTATTTAGCAGTATGATAGACCTCTCTGTAAAAACAAATGTTTTAAATGGAGGGTTTTATTCAGTAACGTTGCCAATAGATCATTTACAAAATGTGAACACATAAGTCTTTATTTTGATCAGCAGTCAGAATTATTTTGAGCTAAATAGCAAGGAATTTGAAACTATGTTTACTTGATTCTTACTAGACACTATTCATCCTTAGGGAAAACCAAAAACACTGACTCACTTGACTGGGGTGCCCATGTGTATGCT